CCAGCCCTCCAATTCATTTTTCTTGTAGCAAATGCTAAATCTTTTTTTTTATTTTTTTAGAATTTTTAATATTTTTAGTTCTCAGCGGACACAACATCTTTGTTGGTATGTGGTGCTGAGGATCGAACCTGGGCCGCACACATGCCAGGCGAGCGCGCTACTTCTTGAGCCACATCCCCAGCCCGCAAATGCTAGATCTTAAAATCTCATCTCAGCTGTGAATTAAGGAGATATCTTACACTTAGATTCAGATTCAGTGCCATTAGAAGCATAGAGAAAAAATGTTATGTGGCACAGCACCCACCTGCAGTCCCAGATACTAGGAGGGGTTAAGGTGGGAGGTCAATAATTTGGGGACAGCCTGAGCAACATAGCAAGATCCTATCTCCAGAAAAGCTGGGGAAGAGTGCTAAGTTTGAAAGTCTCTTCAAATTACTGAGATGTTAAAAAAAAAAAAAATGTATATTTTTTTGCTGGAGATCAAACCCAGGACCTCATATCACTGAACTACAGTCCCAGCCCAAATAACGTTTTTTTTCTTTTTGGGTACTGGGAATTGAACTCAGGGGTACCACACCACTGAGCTTCATACCCAGCCCTTTTTATTTGGGTATTGAACTCAAGGCCCTCTTGTATTTTATTTAGAGACAGAGTCTGAGTTGCATAGCCTCTCAACAGTTGAGGCTGGCTTTTGAACTTTCGATCTTCTTGTCTCAGCCTCCCAAATGTTGGGATTATTGGTGTGCGCCACTGCACTGGCCCAAATAGCATCTTTTGATGCATCTGGGAGTAATACTTAACACTTATTCATAAATCAAAACTTTATTGAATTTCAAAAACTATGCTTTATAGTACATTCGATTTACATATCTCAAAAACAATTTGGGTTTGCTAGTTTAAATGTAGAGCTGTATTTTCCTCTATTAATATTTTTATATTTAAGCCTGTCCAGAATTGTATGTATGATCATTCTTAAAAATATCTGTCTTTTTAGGAGTCCTTCAATAATGTTAAACAGTGGCTGCAGGAAATAGATCGTTACGCTAGTGAAAATGTCAACAAGTTGTTGGTAGGGAACAAATGTGATCTGACCACAAAGAAAGTAGTAGACTACACAACAGCAAAGGTATGTTTAAAGTTTGATTTTCAAATTGAATTTGAAGTTGTTGAATTTTAATTATGAATGGATATGAAGTCACATGATGGCCATACAACCAACCACCTTAATACTTAAAAAAGTGTACTAGGATACTGACAACAATTGTACATGTAGTGTCTTTGGATCCAGTGAAATTTTAGACTTTCCTCACTCCCATTTTATATGGCAGAAATGGACTAAGTGAAAAAGGTTTTTCAGTGTTCATTGTGTCTTATTTCTCTTAGGAATTTGCTGATTCCCTTGGAATCCCATTTTTGGAAACCAGTGCTAAGAACGCAACGAATGTAGAACAGTCTTTCATGACGATGGCAGCTGAGATTAAAAAGCGAATGGGCCCTGGAGCAACAGCTGGTGGCGCAGAGAAGTCCAATGTTAAAATTCAGAGCACTCCAGTCAAGCAGTCAGGTGGAGGTTGCTGCTAAAATTTGCCTCCGTCCTTTTCTCACAGCAATGAATTTGCAATCTGAACCCAAGTGAAAAAACAAAATTGCCTGAATTGTACTGTATGTAGCTGCACTACAACAGATTCTTACCGTCTCCACAAAGGTCAGAGATTGTAAATGGTCAATACTGACTTTTTTTTTATTCCCTTGACTCAAGACAGCTAACTTCATTTTCAGAACTGTTTTAAACCTTTGTGTGCTGGTTTATAAAATAATGTGTGTAATCCTTGTTGCTTTCCTGATACCAGACTGTTTCCCGTGGTTGGTTAGAATATATTTTGTTTTGATGTTTATATTGGCATGTTTAGATGTCGGGTTTAGTCTTCTGAAGATGAAGTTCAGCCATTTTGTATCAAACAGCACAACCAGTGTCTGTCACTTTCCATGCATAAAGTTTAGTGAGATGTTCTATGTAAGATCTGATTTGCTAGTTCTTCCTTGTAGAGTTATAAATGGAAAGATTACACTATCTGATTAATAGTTTCTTCATACTCTGCATATAATTTGTGGCTGCAGAATATTGTAATTTGTTGCACACTATGTAACAAAACAACTGAAGATATGTTTAATAAATATTGTACTTATTGGAAGTAATATCAAACTGTATGGTGATAAGTATTGTTTTAATTCTTATGGTTAAAGGGAAATAGAGCCTTGCATTATACTGAAAACAGACATTTGTGTGTGCAACCAGGGCACTGTAGACCTACCTGTAGCGCAGCATCCAGTTATTTGCTTTCTAGATTATAGATCTGATAAATGACCTAGGGCAGCTTCTGTGCTGTGTAGGGATTTAATCAATTTTAGTGGTTCAAGAAGCTCAAATTGTATGGAAAACAAGTTTAGAATGTATGCTGTCTAGCCCCACCATCTCTGATGTTTCTCTAAAATCATTTGAAATGGCTCCACTGATCAAGAGTTTGTTAATTCATCTGTGGTAGCAGTGAAGAGCGGCACACCCTTCGTAATTGGCAAATGATCAGATAATGTGTGCTGAAGTTTCTTCCATGCTCTGAGTCAGATGTCAACTATTTTGTCCTTCACAATTGTATAACTCATGTTGGAGTTTAAGCATTAAAGGAGAAAGCAGGAAACTTGAGTGCCCTAATTTTAGAAATTATATCCCTAAAAGTTAACTGAAAACATAAATGCTGGGTGGGAATTATAAATGAGAAAAATATATTTATTTCAGTGAAATTTTGCATGTGTGAAAATTTTGTTAAATAGGACCTTCAAGATTCTAGGGTTTGTTTTTACTTTTATTGTGGAAAACAAGTCTTTTGCTGACACTACCATTTTAAGGTGACAGAAGTCAAGGACTGTTTCTTTAGGTTGAAGCAACAGCCAAAACATTCTTCACATATGGGCTTGGGATGTGGCTGTTGGCAACACATTTTATTGTGGGGTCTTTAATGAGAAAACTTAAGTTAAAAAACAAGCCAAAAATTATAGGTTTTTTTTAATTTTTATTTTTCACTAAACAGGCAATTGAAATACATGGTACAAAAATAAGTGGTAAGATTATTGTAAAAATGAAATGGACAGAATAAATATTCAATTTAATTTTCCATCTATGAGAATTTCACAATAAAATCATAGTTTACTTTGTATTATAGACGTGCTTGTTGGATCTATTCATCCTTACATAAGGCAACTGACAAATTCCTGAAGTCACCAATAGTTATTTGGGTGAATATCTTTTTTTTTTTTTTTTTTTTTTAATATTTATTTTTCAGTTCTCGGCGGACACAACATCTTTGTTGGTATGTGGTGCTGAGGATCGAACCCGGGCCGCACGCATGCCAGGCGAGCGCGCTACCGCTTGAGCCACATCCCCAGCCCCGAATATCTTGTTTTTAATGCTTAAAAAAAAAAAAGTTTCTTTTGCCTTATCAATACAATATAAAGTTCAGAAAATATTTTCTAAAATAGCTAAATGATACAAAACTGATACTAGACAATGTGATGCCATGCACTTTAGTTTCATACAGCAAAAGATGTTTAAATGGTCAGCTTATTCTTGGTGAGTTAGCAGAAAAACATTACATGAATTTACTTTAATATGTAAGCATATCTACAGACTTAGTTTGGGAGAACTGTAGTGTTCTTCCCCCCATGGCAGTCAAAAATTGGGACTACAACATATTTCGGCATGCTGCACTCCTTGCTCTTATGTATATACCAATAATTATGGTTTTGAGAAAAACAAATTCCCATTTCTAACCCTATTTCAAGTACAAACATTTCAAGGTTACTATGGGCCTGTTCACAAATACAGGGAATTATCACTTGCTATGTTTTAAATATAACTGGCTGCCATAAATTAGCTTAGGTAATGAAGAGTGTTCCGAGCTGTGGCACACTCTGGGAAGTCATTACAGAGTAATAGTGATTATGGTCTGAGCAGTTAATTCGCTGTCTGCTGAATAGGAAGAAATCTTCAGCATGTACATTATCTTTCCACTGTATCTCACATAAACCCTTCATGCTCATGTTTAAGTTTTAGAACAGCCCTGTATTGTAACAGTCTCTCATTTATTAGTAACAGTCTCTCATTTATTAGCACTTCACCCTGGATGCACAACAAAAACCCAATCCACCCTTTAGTTTTGCAACTCCACTGTGGATTCAAATTCCATTTATCATTAAGGGATGGCTACTTGAATCTAACTTGGCCAGCATCTTCCTAGGTTGAAACAATTTGTTTTTGAGTTGTAAAGGGAGGTCTCAAACTGAAGGTAAAATTAACAGTTATATTGATATTCCTCAGTGGCTAGAGCCAGGTTCAGAAAGTTAGCACCTTATTTCACAACTTATTTCAAAGAGGATGAACAAATCTATCACTTAAAACTAAGGCACCATTTTCTTGGTAAGTAGGAATTTTCAGATTCTGTTATTTTGGGATATCCTGTCAGCTGAAGCTGATGAATGCCACAATATGAATTCAATTGATACACTGGCCAGTTTGTTTTTATAAGGTTATCCCAACTTTTTAATGCTAATACAGACTGATTTAAGTGAGTGGGTTTAATTCATTAATAGCAACATACTCAGTGAAAGGCATGTTCCACTTTATAGCTACATTAACAAATGTAATAGAGTCCACTGGGCATACCACTGGGCATTCTTTTTAAGAACTCATTTTTTGTGAAGCTATTATTGAATAGTTAGTGTTTTTAAAAATAGTTTTTTAGTTGTAGATGGACATAGTACCTTTGTTTAATTTTATGTGGTGCTGAGGATTGAACCCAGTGCTTCACAGGTGCAAGGTAAGTGCTCTACCACTAAGCCACAACCCCAGCCCTGAATAGTTAGTTAATTTTGACTGGTTCACTTTTCATTATTAGAACTTACAGCTATTATCCAGTGACTGTAAAGTCTGAGAAATGTAGAGGCAGAAAAGTCACATTGAATAGGATCCTATTAATGTTGTTTCTTTGATATTCTTTCAATGTCAGAAACTTTTTAAGTGCCTTTTTTTTTTTTTAAAGATTCTGTGGTCACTAGCAAAACACTGCTTTGCTTCAAAAAGCTACAGATAATGCTTTAAATATATTTATATCCATGCATATTTTTCCCTTTTCTGACAAGGTACTTAACAGGCCAACTCCCAAGCAACAAAGAATTCCCTTTTTTCCTTTATTGACAGTTTTAGTTTCTATAGTGAAACAGGCCGTGTGATCCTATCCATTCACTTCCCTGACCTTGCACTAGTCTTCCAAGGGAGTAGGAGTGGAGGGACAGGATCCTCCTCCCAGAGATACCCTAAGTTTGATCCTTAGCTCCTTAGCCATGCTGAAGCACAATGGCAGTTCTCTAATTCCCAGACACATTTTCTTTTAAGATACTAGGCCAGGAAGGTGGAGACCCAAGCCCTGAAGATGGCAAAAGATGTCACAATTGCCCAAAGTAATCTGTAGAAGTTCTATTCATTTACCCCTTTTCTTTTGCAGACTGAGGGCTAAAATTTTCAAAAAGGAACTTACTAAGCCTCACTTGATCCCTTTTTGTGTCTGAGAATACCAAGTATTTGGAACCTTCTTTCTCAAAGCAGCCTTCTGTGAATAATCTTAGCAGGAAGAAGAGTTTAGGAGCTCTTTTTTTTTCTTTTTAAAAACTGGACATAGGGGAGGCAAGGCCTGTAACTGTAAATCTTATTTTAACAAAAGTTGCAAAGCCACATGCTTTCTGTGGAAAAGCACCAAAAAGAATATAGTTTGGAAGGATTCTTTGTAAATAAAACCAGCAATTTAATAGCCCTTACTTCAGAGAAGAGAAAGGCATTTAAAGCTAAAAATACATTAACATTTTTCCCTTGACTTAACTGTTAAATGGCTCTTGCAAGTACTTCTTGACAGTTTCCTTCCCAAGAGTCAACTTTTGGCTGACAATTTCTTCTTTTCCTGAGAAGATGCCTGAAAGAGAAAGCAGCATTTGTTACAGGCATAATGTTGCAGGAAGAAATAACAGCAATCACATGTATCCATTTCAGAACTAAGATAATTACTAAAATTGCTTTGATGTAAAAATGCAGGGACTCCCTGCTCTTGACATAGCTACAGTAAATTCACATCTAGAAAATCATTTTGTAGGAGAGGAAATTTCAGAAAAAAAGTTGCAAAATTACAATGTTCTGGGCAGTGCAAACCCAAGGTTGGTACCAGTTAGCCCCTCTTTTGTTTTACCTCCTTTCCTCTTTCCCTAATTGAGTTTTCAAGGGATAAAAAGAAAGTTGTACTATGTAAGTCTCCAAGATGTATTTTATTCTGTCCCCCAGCCCTTTTTGGAAGGAGCATTGTGGGAAATTTGCAGAAACCCTTTGTGGCAAGGGGGTTGGGACATTGGGAGAGATAGCAGTAACTCTAGGTTTCCATGGGCACTTAGTGCTGTCAGCGATGCTTAAAGGAGGAGCATCAAATAAGCTGATGAGAAGAACCTGAGGGCAGAGGCAACCTGACCATAGCCACATAAAGGAGAGGCATTCATGTGCAGAAACAAAGTAGGTATGGACAATTTTGCTGCTGGGGGCTAGGACTGGGGAAGGTAATGCAATAAAGATGGGTGCACAGAGCACTTTTGTTCTCAGCAGGCAGCAGGAGTGAAACCAGGTAAGGAAGACACCAAAATGGGCTTTCGTTGCTACAGGAAAACTCACACCCTCCTTCCGGGCTGTGTTAGTGACCCCTATTTCAGCACCACAGGCAGCCTTCCTCCAGTACTATTTCAGCAGCTCTAATCCCCAATCAGCACCGGGGCTGCAGGGCAGACTTTCTTCTTGGGCTCCTCTACTTACCGGGTTAAACCCCTTCACATGGGCGCTCCTTTGCTGTCACTGGCTTACTGTCAGGGATAAGGGTGCAGCCAGCCAGCATGTCCACAGAGGCCAAGATAGAGTCATAAAGGCGATCTGCATGGCTCTCCAGCTCACCAGACTGCTTCTCGATCCTCCCAAGGACATCCTTTAAAACTAACAATGAAGTTATACAAAGATACAGCATTCTGCTTGAAATAGGGCTGTAGCAGTAGTTTCAGAATGCCCACCCATTTTATTTTTTAAAACAGTGATGTTCCCAGGACTTCTGTGGAACTGTAAATTTTTAATGAGGGTCTGTTAATGTTTGTTGTGTTGTTTTGTTGTTGCAGTATTGGATAATTAACTGAGGGGCACTCTACCTCTGCGTACTTCCTCAACCCTTTTTATTATTTTGAGGCAGGGTCTTGCTAAGTTGCCTAGGCTGACCTGGAATTTGGAATCCTCCTGCCTCAGCCTCCTGTGTAGCTGAGATTACAGGTGTGTACCATAACACCTGGCTACATTATTAACTTTCAGTTAAAGCTAGTATTCAACAGCTGTACTCTGGAATTACATAACTGACAATAGGGCACACAGACATGGCTTTCTGTTAGATAGTATAATTTAACTTAAGAGATGAGATCGGGCACATATATAAAAACATGCCAAGATAAAAATGCTGATGCGACCAGCTCCTATCAACTTCTGTTGGCTTGAGGACATTTCATATATGAGTGATTTGGTAATGTATTAGGGGATGCTTATGAGTCCTATGGGTCCTATGTGAACAGACTTAAAAAGAAAATGATCTGAGAGCAGGCTAGAACAAAATCATTAGGCTGGGCTTCACTCCTACAGTGGTGCTATGGATGGGCTTTATATATAGCCAGAGTTATTTCACGCACAGCAGACTTTTTCCTTCAAAAGATAAAAAAAAACTTAAGCACAAAGGCTGCCTTAGCTTCCGGTACCTTTATCAGCTGTGTTAACATGCTTTCTGGTTTCCTGCCACAGCTACAACATCTGCCAACAGAGGAAGGGAAAGGGGAAGCTGCATGCCTTCAGACATTGCTGACTGGATGGGCAAAAGGAGGAATATAGGTTGGCTATGTTGAGATCAGCCCCTGGGGAAGCCGCAGAGTGCCATGTCATCAGGGCAATGAGCTGTTCTGACAACTCTAGAGAGCTGGCGTGGCGGAGATGTGCAGTAAAGCTTGGTCATAAAGGTGGCTGAGCTGGGTGTTTCCCCTCCACCTTCAGACTTTGCTCAGCCTTCCTATTGTCAGTGGAATTCAGCGGAACTTTTTGGTTATACTTTAATCTTTGACTGTAGGGGCCAAGGAAAAGAGAAGCTAGAAAGGGAAATGAAGTACAGAATAATTTCCCAGTAGGATTTTTTTTTTTTTTTTGGGGCAGTATTGGGGATAGAATCCCGGGGTACTCTATTACTGAGCTGCATCCCCACCCTTTTATTTTGTATTTTGAGATAGAGTCATGCTGGTCTTGAACTTGTGATCCTCCTTCCTCAGCCTCCTGGGACATTGGGATCACAAGGCATGTGCCAACACACCCACCTCTAACTTTTGTGTTTTAACTGAATACAAACAGGGGCCTTGTACAGCTTAACATTAACAGGTTCCAGTCATTTGACCAGTTATAAGGGTTGAGATGCAAGACAGAACTGTCAATCTGTACAAGTAACTGGGTAAAAATGTGGAGGCCTTTGGCAGGAGGCTGAGATGGGCAACTCTTTAAGGGAAAAATGCCTTGGGTTATACTTGGAGTCAAGTAAGAAATCGGGCTGTGAGGCTGGGCGTGAGTGGGCATGTGCTGGCCTCTGCTCACTCTGATAAGGTGCTCCTGGAAGAAGAAAAGTGTGAAGTGTCAAGAGGAACTTGTGATTTTCACGAAACAGCCAAGCGTTCTGATTATTCCAGGCAGAGGACAGGGAGGGGCATTGTACCAATCTGAAAGAGCCTGGATACATATCCATGAACCATAGATTCTAACTGAAAGCCTCCTCTTCTGGCCAGTACAACCCCAGGATCCCTTCTGAGAGCAGCGTCAAGTGGGGTGTTCTTATTACAGGCTAGCTACTGAAAACTACTGGAAAACTTTTTAAAGTGAAGGTCAGTCACTTTATAGAGGCCTACTTTCACATGTGGCCTCTGAAAAGAGGCTCCTGCATTTGAGCTTTCCCTGCTCAGGCCTCACACCTCCAGACACTGACAGCAATATAGAGTCAGCACATCGGGGCTGCCTGAGGCAACTTCACAATTCTGTAAGGTAATAATAGCATCTACCTCACAGAGCTGTGATTAAATGGGGGAAAAAAAAGATGCCAACTGTTTCAGCCCATGCTAAGTGATCAGTAAAATGCTGGTGTAGTTACAGCAGCAAAGGAGCTTGGCATGCCGAGTTTGTGCCCCAATATAAAACCTAAAGATCCTAGTCTAAGGGAACCAGGGAAGAGCCAAAGGCCTTAAAGGGGCAGAGAATTGCAAAGGGTTCGCATAACTCAGAAGAGATAATCATTCTACTGTAAACCCTTTAGGGGTCACTGTCCATCAGAACCCCTCTGCTGATTCACAGGTACTTCCCAGGGTACCACTGAATATCTGCAAGTGCTGCCAGTTGTCACACTGGGAGTAGAAGGGCTTACTGGTATTTAGTGGGGTCAGGGATGCTGTGAAACATCCTGCAATTGCATAGGGAAAACCCTCTATAACATACAGCAACTGTGCTGGGGTTGAGAACCTAGGTCTATACTACCTCCCTAGTCTACACCCACTACTGTTAAAAGTGCCTTAAAAAAAAGTGCCTTCTCAAGCTCCTGAGGTCTTGCTCAGCTTTGCGTACTCTTGGATTCCAGTATAAATCTCATCTCACTCCAAAGCTCAAGCAAAAAATAGATGAGATCTTAAAGCAATTGTTTGTACATAGTCTTACAGGAAATTAGGGACTACTTTGGGGATTTCCCTCAGTTCAAGATTTTAACCTCCATATCACACCTCTTGCCCTATAAGGACAAAGATGTGTGTAAAACTGTAGGCACCTGGTACACTCAGACCTTCTCTTCTTTTTTGGCACTGGGGATTGAACCCAGGGGTGCTTTACCACTGAACTGCATCCTCATCCCTTTTTGAGACAGGGTCTTGCTAAGATGCTGAGGCTGACTCTGGATTTGTGATCCTCCTGAATCGCAGGAGTGCACCATCACGCCCAGCTAGGAGTCCTCTTAGTCTCTGATTCTCACAACACCAGTTGGAAACTCATCCTGCAAAATGGGTTTGAGCCTGGTTTGCATGCCACTGCCACCCCATTCCCTTTCATCAGTTTAATTCTTCATTCAGTCTAATCCATGAGAATAGATTATTCCTTTTGGTCAACGATTTCTGGAACAATTCCTTCCCTAAAGTAGAAAATAAGGCAGAAAAACCAGAGTTCAACCTGAGCTGAATAAAGTGAGGAACCCCTGAGTGTTACCCACTGAATACTCCAGCCACAGTTAAGGATTGTTAGAATACAATCACGATTTCCACCCACAACACTACCAAGAAACTATATAAGCAAATGAGCGCCATTGTTGCAAGCTTAAGCTGGATTTCTGACAGATTTACTTTTAATGACAACTGCCTCAACCTGGGTTTGCAGGGCAATGATGACAAAAAGACCTGGCAGAAGTCCCCATGTGACTCTTAAGGCAGGTGGGGGTGGTTCCTGCAACATTGTATTCTCACCAGGCTTGCTGCTGAGAGGGATTAAACTCTAGCTAAATTAAAAGCTCAAGCACATAAACTGGGCACAGATGTACATGCCTACAGTCCCAGCTATTCTGGATGCTGAGGCAGGTGGATTTCAAATTTGAAGCCAGCCTGGCCAACTTTGAGCCCTGCCAAATTAAAATGAAATGACTGAGGATATAGATCAGTGGTAGAATGTTTGCCTAGCATGTGTGAGACTCTGGGTTCAATCCTTAAGACTGCAAACAAAATAGAAAAAAAAAATCATTAAAATCAACCCCAAATAGATCAAAGACTTAAACATAGACCTAACACTATGAAACTACTAGAATAAAACATGAGGAAAGGCTTCAGGACATTGGTCTGGGCAAACAATTTTTGGATATGACCCCAAAAGCCTAGGCAATAAAAGCAAAAACTGACAAACAGGATTACATTGACTGAAAAGTTTCTGCACAGTGAAGGAAAAAACAGAATGAAGAGACCTACAGAATGGAGAAGGTATTTGTAAACTAGTCATCTGACAAGGGATTAACTCTCAAGTATAAAAGGAATTCAAATAACAACAACAAAAAACCCAAATAATCTGATTTAAAAGTGGGTAAATGACTGAGTGTTGACATTTTAAAAAAGATACACAAATGGCAAGAAATATACAAAAAAATGCTCAATATCACTAATCATGAGGGAGATACAAATCATAACCACCATAAAATAAAATTTCACTGTAGTTAAATGACCATTATCAAAAAGACAAAAAAATTAAAGGTGAATATTTGGAAAAGGGGGAACACTCAGATAATGCTGGGTAGGAAATGTAAATCAGCAGAGCCACTATGGAAAATAGTATGGAAGTTGTCAAAAAACTAGAAACAGAACTGCCATGTAATTCTGCAGCCCTACTACTGTGTATACACATCTAAAGGAAAGGAAATCAGCAGGTCAGAGACACCTGCACTCACATGTTCACATTCAACACATTCATAATACCCAAGATATGGAATCAACCTAGGTGTCCACTGGTGGATGAATGGGTAAGGAAAGTACATTTACAGAGTGGAATATTGAAAGCATAAAAAAGAACAAATGTCTGTCATTTCATATTCATGGATAGAATATTAAGTGAAATAAGTCAGATGCAGACAAATTCTGGGGGCTGGGGTTGTGGCTCAGTTTTAGAGAGCTTTCACAGAGTTTATGACACCCTGGATTGGATCCCCAGCTCCACAAACACAAAGAAAACAAAAACAACCAAACAACAAAAACCCGATTCTGCATGTTCTCATTATGTAGAAGTTAAAAGGCAGATCTTACAGAAAGAGAGGTATCTCTAATCATAGGATGATTAATGGTTCTGGAGTGCGGCTGGGTAGGAGAAATAATTTCTCAGGTTTCGCAGTGCCAAGAATTAAACCTAGAGCTTCGCTGTGCCACTAGGCTATATATCCCCAGCCCCACTTCAGAAGTGTTCTACAGCACAGAAAGATAACAATGGTTGACAATAATTAACTGTTTATTTCAAAATAGCTTGTACAGAGGATTTTAAATGTTCCCAACACTAAGAAATGATAAATGAGATAACCAATATACCAATCCTGATCTGGTCATTCCACATTGTACCCATGTACTGAAATGTCACACTGTATCCGATAAATAGGTACAACTGTGTGTCAATCAAAAATAAAAAAAAAATAGGTTAAACAATAATCTCTCAAGCATCTCACCTGGTGTGTTCTCCAATAGGCACTGAAGAAGAATCTCCCCCTTCTGTAAGACACTGTCTGTCAGGAACTGATGTTCATCTATATCATTCTTAAATTGCTTAAGACATATAGGGAAAGAAAAGGGAAAACAAAACTTCATTACTATTGTTTTATAAAACTTAAATGAACACCATGCAAAGTGGCTTTAGTCCTCTAACATGGAAGATACCACTTGGTCTGCAGAATTCCTCAAGTAAAGAGTGTACTAGTTTAAGTTCATCTTCCTTGAGCCTAATTTTTTTTTTCCTTCTGTTTAGTTTGACAAAAGTTTTCCCTGACTGAGGCTGGCTCATGAACAGATTTATTGTTGTGCCCTATTTTATGGGGTTCTCATCAACTCACAACAGTATGGGTTTCCCAAAATAAACTCTTTTCTACTGGACCTGATAAGTAAGAATAAGCAATGTGGCTAGTGACCTCTGGCAGTTTCGGCCTCCACCTTAGGGTTACTGCCTCGACCAGGGAAGTGGCAAGTTTCCCAAGCAGCTCATCTGTTTTGCCCTCACAGCTACCAAACTTTGTAGTCAATTGTTTTAATCTTTTTTTTAGTTGCTAAGAAACATTAGGTCAAAACTATGGCCACCTTTAATCCATGGGGCATAATTCGATGCTTAGTTGTTTTTCTTTTTTTTCCCCTTATGTATTACAGATTAAGTTCAGGAGCTCTTAACCACTGAGCCACATCCACAGCCCTTTTTATTTTTTAAGACAGAGTCTCACTAGGTTGTTGGGGCTGTCCTGAATTTGTGATTCTCTTGCCTCAGCCTCCGAAATTGCTGGGATTACAAGCATGAGCCTCCATGCTCAGCTTGGTGCTTAACTTTTTTTTTTTTTAATATTTTTTTAATATTTCTTTTTTAGTTATAGTTTATTTTTATGTGGTGCTGAGGATTGAACCCAGAGCCTCACACGTGCTAGGCGAGTGCTCTACAGATGAGCCACAATCCCAGCCCCGGGTGCTTAACTTTTTGAGCCATAATTTCACTCTTGGATTTACTTTTTTCCTGGTTTCAGTCTTCCTCTACCCTGATATCTACACTTATTTTATTCCTTGGTACTCTTATGTAGTTGAGATGCTGCCTTAACCCCACTGAGTTAAGATAGGCAGAGTATGGAAAAGGCTTCAGTTAAAATATGTGAACACAGAACTGGGTGTGATGGGTAGTGTTTGCAATTCCAGTGATTTAGGAGGTTGAGGCAGGAGGATTGCAAGTTTGAGGTCAGCCTGCGCAACTTGGCAAGACCGTGTCTCAAAATAAAAACAATAAAAGGGCTGGGCCACTTCATACAAACCCAAATGTCAACAAAAATTGTTTCTGTGACATACTGAAGAAACATGACCTGCAAGCCCAGAAACACATACAGGGTCTGGGATCCCAGACTCTTTTAATGAACTTGGCAAGTGTTCAGATTTATTCTCTCGACATGGAGAATCTGCTTAAATATTCTTGGCTTTACTCAAGAATACACTAATGACTGTATATACCACTGTCCTCTTTCTGCCTCAAGAAATCAATGGGCTTATTTGTCACATCACACAAAATTCTATGGTAATTATAATTGTAAAAATAAAATAAAAGGGATGGGGACGTAGCTCAGTGAGAAAGCATCCCTGGATTCAATCCCCAACGGGGCTCTCCCCCTCAAAAAAGCCATACCCACAGCTAACATCTTAAAAGTAAGTAAATTAAATATGTGAGCATGCACACTTGCTTATAATAGTTGGATTTTTTTTTTTTTTAATACTGGGATTTAACCAGGGGTGTTTTATCACCTAACTACATCCCCAGCCCTTTTTGTTTTTTGTTTTGAGGCAGAGTCTTGCTAAGTTGCCCAGACTGGCCTCAAACTTATGATCCTCCTGCCTTAGCATTACATCTGGATTACAGGCATGTGCTACCATGTTGGTTTGGCCTCCAACTTTTCTAGGCCTCAGCCTCAGAGTAGCTAAAATTATAGGTGAGCACCATCTTGCCCCTTTTATACTAAGTCTTGATTTAAGCAGGAGCCAAGGTTAACTCATACGTAAGCCATGCAGTATTCTGTGTGGGGAAGGGGTTCAGTGCAATCTCACTTTGTGACAGTTGTGTGACACAGGCTTAGGCCTCACTGACTTGCAGGAGTAACTCCTAGCTCAGATCTCAACTGATCTCACAAAGCAAGATAGTTGCTGGAAGTGAGGTGCAGAGAATGGCATGAGGGATAAAATGAAGGGAATGGGGTTAGCCTAGATGCACCTGTTAATGACAGGCTACAAAGACCACTGAGGTAAGTCTAACAGGGCATTTCCTCTTCTCTACAGATATATGCAACGTGGGGTCATGGAGTCGGCTTACAGAGGACCCTGAGACTCAGCCTTCTTCAAGCTCTTTCTGGAACTCAGGCTACCTCTCTCCACAGTGCAGTAAATAACATTCCTGAGGGTGGAGCAGCTGGCCTGCCTGCCAGATTTTGGTTGGCTCAGAGATAGAAAACAAAGGTCCTCCCTTCAGCCTGGTTGTGGTTCGGCCAGGCTCTGAGTCAGGGTGGTGCAGCCCGAGGAACTTGTAAATCACGCCCTCTTCTGTCGAAGTTAATGTCGGGTTTTAAGGTTGTACAGATTTAGAGAAGACCCCTTCTAGATTGTCATCAGACTCAGACCACAAATGCTGTCACTGCCCCTCAGGAAGAAGTTACGAAGGCTTGGCCAACCAGAGGTTAAATGTATTAGCTGCTTAATAGAACATTCTGGGAGGCTTGCTTATTTACTTATTTATTTTAACCAAAGTATTTCCACAAAAATTTCTTGTTTTGTTCTTGGAGTACTTCTTAGATTCTCTTGTCTTTAACCTCTCTTTCTAAAGAAAGCCCTCTATGATCCCTCTCCCGCCCTCAGTTAAAAAGTAATAGGTTTGTCTAAATAAGATGGAGATGCTGGCCCCAGGAGGTAGAGAGAGGTTCCCTTTGATGTGATAAGAGGGTAACAGTGACTCAGATAAGAAAGGCCAGGTTGTTTAGAAGAGGGGGAAATCCCGAAATCCCTGACCTTTGTCCTACTGTATCCCTTTCCCCTCTCATAAAAGATTTCCATTCTCCAAGATGGTCTTTTTTTTTAAATATTTCTTTTTTAGTTTTAGGTGGACACAATATCTTTATTTTACATTTATGTGCTGGTGAGGATCCAACCCAGTGCCTCATGCATGCTGGACGAGCACAATACCACTGAGCCACAACCCCAGGCCCCCCAAATGGTCTTTGAGACAGAAAGGTCTTCTCTACCCTCATCTCCTTTATCCTACTCAAAACTGGTTTAGAATAAAACCTGCTTTTCCCTCACCAACCTTCCCCCTGAGTTTTAGTGGAGCCTGATTAGCAGTAAAGTCTTTTCTCCCTGGCTTCAGGATAAAAATTACATAATTTCAATATGCTTAATCCCATTCAATATGCTTACCCTAGAATCAAGTTAACTGGATCTCACAAAGAAGTATTTTTAAAAGAATGGAATCTTAATGAAAAAGAGGTAACCCCCCCCCCAAAAGCCAAACCCAAGCCCAAAGACACACAGAAGCAAACTGATGTCAAATTTTTGTTTAAATCTGCTTCATCTGAATGCCCTGTTGACATTCTGAAGTGAGGAAAATTTCAGCTCAGTTACTTAACAAATAACAAAGCCCATCAGAACTTCTGAGATGGAATGTTCTGTATCTGTACTGTCTGGAGTGGTAGCCACTAGCACTGGGAATGCAGCTAATACAAGTGAAAAATCTTAATTTCAACAGTCATCTGTGACTGCTGGCTCTGTAACAGTGCAGGCCAATAATTATAAACCCTGAGATATTTGGAAAATTATAATGCAGAACACCCTGAAATATTTACAGTGTATATTAATTCTATTTGGCCTGGGAATCAATTCATTTATTTTAAAAAGTTTTTTTTTTTTTTGCACTGGGGATTGATCTCAGGGACATTTGACCACTGAGCCACATCCCCAGCCCTTTTTTGAATTTTATTTAGAGAATGTGAATTGCTTAGTCCCTCGCTGCTGCTAAGGCAGCAGATCCTCCTGCCTCAGCCTCCGGAGCTGCTGGGATTACAGTCCAGTTCATTTTACAAAGTTTTACACTTACAATTTGAAAAGCCCCTCTGATTAGTTTCAGCTATAATTGACCTACAACATATTAGGCATCAGTTATTTGAGATTTTATTTTGTGATTAAGTGCTTTTGCAATCACTCTTCGAAAGTAAAAGGCCAAAAGCCAGGACCACACATTACCCGGTAAAGCTGCAGAGAAGACTTGAGACCTGTAAGACTAGACCTGGGTGGAGACCCAAGGTTAATGACATCTGAGACATCATACAGCCAGCGGATCAGCTCTTCCAGCTGACAGCAAAACGTCTGCAGAGACAAATAAATGAACACACGGTATTAGTGACTGAACTCCTATTTGTAATCAAAAGGCTAAAAATATCAGGATGGCTCTGGGAACGGTGTGCACCTCTCAGAGCTTTCCTTCAGGCTCCTCTCTCCCCTTCCCATGACGCCAGACCTTCCTCTGCCAGAGCAATGAGAAGCCCCTCTTGATTCTGTCTTCCTTTAGTCAGATGTGACACCAAATAAGAGACTAAGAAAACCCAGCCCCTGCAATGGGAGTGAACTGTAAAGGCAATGGATTGGACAGCCGAGAGGAGCAGTTCTGTCCTGAAAACCAATTCTTGGGATAGCACCATTACCATCAAACCGTTTCTAAGGGAACAAATCCTGACCAACATGAACCCATTGCTGAAAACAACTTTTACCTCATGCTATCTCCATCTTTTACCACAAAAGATAACATGTCCAATAACCTTAGTCCTACCTGCTACCCAGGACAAAGAAAATAACACATGTGACTTCAGGCAGGTTAAAACCCCCCATGAGTGCTAGGACACGTGGGTAGCATGGGCTCACAGGCCGAGGGCTACGCTGCAGACAAGCATCCTTCTGCCACCTGGTGGGGAAGGAGGGCAGAGGGATGCCCAGAGAGTGGGGAAAGGCACGTTCCTGAACCTTTCCCGGGTGTCGGTAACTGCATAAAGTCCTGATGTGAATTATTTAATTTAATCCACACAATATCCCAAAGCGGCAGGGCTCCACATTTCACAAAGAAGCAAACTCAAGGGACTGAGCCAAAATCCCAGAGGCAGCAGTGCCATGATTTACAGTCCAGATCTGCCTGCCCATTAGCAATCTATTCCACCCAGTATTGATCACATCTTCAGATTTTTTTTTTTTGTGTGTGTGTGCGTGTGGTACTGGGGATTGAACTCAGGGCCTTGAGCATGCAAGGCAAGTACTCTACCAACTGAGCTCCATCTCCAGCCCCAAATCTTCAGATTCTAACAGGTAGCCAATGAAAGGTTCAGTGGCCAAGAAGTCTAGGACATGGGACATCTAACACCTCTTACTTTGTGGAGTACAACACTGTGGTAGAGGAAGCGCTGAAAAGTCCTGCAGTTGAGAGAGCTGCTACCTTTGTAGAGCCCAGTGTTTCCTAAGGGCACCTGCACAGGAACCCTTTGTGCAGGATACCTGAGAGGAAAAGCAGCCAGGGCTAGTGGTTTGGAATCAGGATCTGCAGGGTCCACCTGGGTCTGATTCCTGGCATTGGTCCCACACACTCTGCCTTCTTCTCCAAACAGCAAAATGATAATAGTACTTATGGGGTAAGGTTTTTTAAAAAATATTTTTTATGTATATTTTTTAGTTGTAGATGAACACACAGTATCATTATTTATTTTTATGTGGTTCTGAGGATAGAACTCAGTGCCTCCCGCATGTGAGGCAACCGCTTTACCACTGAGCTATAGCCTCAGCCCAAGAATTTTTTCAAAAAAAAAAAAAATTAAAAAAAAAAATTTTTTTTAAGTTGTAGTTAGACACAATACCTTTATTTTATTTATTTATTTTTATGTGGTACTGAGGATTGAACCCAGTGCCTTGCACGTGCTAGGCGAGCGCTCTACTGCTGAGCCACAACCCCAGCCTCAGGAATTGTAAGAACTAAATAAGGTGCAGCACAGTGCCGGGAATGTGAAAAATACCAGTCATTGTCAGCAAGTTTTACTGTGAAGTTTGTGGACTGGGGAAGACAAGAAACCCTCCGTTCCCGCCCTGCCCCAGGTCCTTACCTGTACACACTGCAACAGGGAGGCTTTCCCCTGCTCTTTTCTGGGATCCTGCCTTTCAGCATCTGGGTCCAAGAATGGCCACCTGTCCAACACAGCTGGCAAGGAGGGGTGTGTTTTCAGCAGTCTAGAAGAGACCCCAAGCACGTGGCTGCTCACCAGATTGCCTTCCCCTGCCGAGTCTCGGGCCTGGACAAAGTTGTGCAGGCAGCAGTGGTTATGTCCCTTGGGACATCCAGGTCCTTGGACAGTAGTCCCAGAAGGAAGCTGGCTCTGGCTGGAGTCCGATGGAAGGGAAGCTGGCCCATCAGTGTCTGATACTTCCAGGGAACTCTGCCCCTCAGCGACTCCAGGGGGCAGGGTCACCAAGGTGGGAATGGCATCTAGATAGGAAACCAAACTAGAAACCTGTGTCAGCCGAGTGGGCAGGGCAAGAAACTCATCGTCATTCTCCACCTCTTCTTCTGATTTCCATCTAGAATCCATGTAGGCAGGGCGCCGGACACTGTGGTAGGCCCTCTTCTCCCTTTCTGGCCTGGGTGAAGGACACCTTCTGTCCCTTGTCCTCAGCTGGGGAGAACCGCCCACCTCGAGGTGTTCACCCACAGGAAGCCGATTCTTCACGCCCCTCAAGGCTGTCTCTCTGCTCTCCCAAGAGGCATCTCTACTTCCTGGGACTTTAGGGGTGGATGCAAGTTGGCTCCAAGATGCCAGGCTCATGCTGCCCTGATTTTGAGACACTTCAGAGGGCCACTGCTTAAGGCTTGGCTCTCTAGGCCCAGAAAATGGCAAGGTAGGGGCCTGTGCTGGTGGGCAGTTGGGGGAGACATTAGTGGGTGATTTCAGAGTACTTGCTGGAGAGACAGAGAAGCTATCCAGGTCTACACCTGAGTCCTGCAGGACAGGGTCAGCTGGCACATGGCTATCAAGTTGCTTTGGGAGCTGAGGCCCAGGCCTCAGGGGGTAAGTATAGTCCAGCAGGTCTTCATACTCTTTATTTGGGTTCCAGAGCGGGGAGTGGCGATCAGGGGAAGGAGGCAAGGAATCCGGAAGCACACAGGCCCAGTACTCAGCCTGGAAGGAGAGGTGCCTCCGGCCCAAGCCAGTAGCATCACACCCAGAAGCTGCAGACTGTGATGACCACTGGAGCTGAGGCCCTGACCCCACCAGAGAAGGGGGATTCTGAGGGACAGCCAGCTCCAGGGAGGAGGGGATCTTGGTAAGGGAGTCATTCTGGGTTTCCACCTTCTCTTGCTGATTCTGGAGACTGCTGCCTGAGGAGGAGGCAGAAACACTGCAGCTGGACAGTTGAGGAGCAGCAGCCCCTGGGCTTACGACGGACTTCCATGGTGATGGGAAAGGGAAACGTGAGATTTGAGGCTGTTGGCTGAGCACCCAGGGGGAACCAACTGGGGAAGGGTCATCTTCAGTATCAGCCTCATGTCCTGAGCAAAGAGCTGTAGTTCTGGGCATGTCAACACTCTGAGGTAGTAGCTCCTGGGAGGTAGAAGGCTTGGTCTCCTCCATCTGCAATAGTAAGGGACAAAGAGGCACTCGGGTAAAAATAATCAAACCCAATTTCTTTTCCCACGACAACGCAGGCAGGGAAAAATCTCAAAATGTGAAAAAGTCTGTGGCCTAAGGCAAGAAGCAGAGTGATTCAGGCTGCCCCAGCAGTCCCCCACAGCAGAGATCCCTGTCCCCAGTCCTTTCAGAAGTTCTTCCTCTATGGATGGCCAGTTTGTGAGCAAGCAAAACCCAGCTCTGTCATGCTGCAGCTGGAGAGCACTGCCCCATTCTTTGAGAAGCAAGTCCTGGGTGGGCTACCTTTGATCTATTATGTGGCTGACAGGAGATCCAAACCCCACCAGGCTGCACCCTGCTCAGCTTGCTCCCCAGTGGTAGGTGAACTTTGACAACATAGTCCCTCACCTCAGCCTCTTCACTTTGAATTTTTAATCAGCTCAGTGAAAAACTCAGCCTCCATAGAGGCAGGACAGCACAATTGTTAAGGGATGGGCTTTGGAACCCAGACCTGAACTAGTCAACTCCTAAGCTCTGCCACCTTCCAGAACTAAGATTGAGCCTCACTTTGCTGGTGTGTAGAGTGGGGAGGGTAACAGCACTGCCCTTTCAAGAGGAAAGGGTCACTGAACTCTTGGAGCAAAGCACTTGGGAAGAGCCCAGGTACTACCTCGATAAGCAAACTCACTCTAGTGAAGCTGCTCACTTCTGTGCTGACTGACTTGCTACCTGCCCCACCACATTAGCTCAGCCCCTTGCTCCCAGTCACACTCAAGAGTCTCCCCACAGGATGGGGCCCATGGGGAAGCAAGCAGCAGTCAAGGTCACAATGACATCAAGAACATCAAAGCGGGCTGGGAATATAGCTCAGTTGGGCGAGTGCTTGCCTCCCATGTACAAGGCCCTGGGTTCAATTCCCAGCACCACAAAAAAGAAAAAAACAAACAAACAAACAAAAAGCCATTCCCAGGAAAGGTTTTGGCAAGCAGAATATAGAATGTCAGAACTGGAAGGGACAGATCATTAGGGTCACCTTCCAATTATAAAAAGGCCTTGAAAGATGCAATGATTTGGCCACATTCTCAGAACCTAGTAGGATTCCCTCTCATTGGGTTCCTTGCAGTCAGATGCCCAAGAAATTCTCCTTAGCCATAGACAGTGCTGTCCCCCACAGGGGTTCTGACAGGTCTCCTGGTCCCAAGGGAATTCAAGTCTCGGGGCCCTCAGAAGCCCAAAATGTCCCCAGGGTCCTCTTGAATCCTTCAAATCACCAACTCAGAAGACACACAATAGGGCTCCAGTTGTCAAAGGTCCCCTGGTCTAGCCCTCTGGGCAGCAGGCTCTTGGCCATACCCTCACCAGTCCTCAAGGTCAACAGTTATGCTCTTAAGGAACAAGAGACACCATGGACAGAGTGCCCTCTTGGCCTGGAGGCCTACCTCTCAAAGTAAGCCTGAGACAGAAATCCTCATTCCCAGGCTCCTCCAACCCTCCAACCTGCACCATGGCAGGGAAAGGATGTTAGTCGGTGAGGAAACGTCCACACCCCCAAAGGACAGCACTGTGTCAGAACCCACAGTCCTGTTTGCCTTCCTACCTACCTGGCTTTCCACAGAGTGCAAGAGGTCTCCAGTTCCCACGCTGGCAGGAGGAAGCAGGCCACTGGGGGCAGGCCTAGACCTAACAGCTGCTCTGCTGGCAGCGTTGGCCTGTGGCAGGTAAGCTCTGCAGGTGCCGTCAGGGGTAGGTAGCCCCTCCGCCCCCCACACAGGAGAGGCCGGCCCTCCTTCAGCCTCTAGGCATTGGGGCTGCTCCTGGTTCATGGGCCCCGGCACATCCACCTTTTGCTCCCCACGGCTCCATCTCCCACAGGACTGGGCCTTTGCATCTGCAGATACTTCCAGCTCTGCCTTTTCTTCACCCAGGGCCATCAAGCTGTCCCTAGGTCAGGGCTCCCCTGAAGCCTTCTACTCCCTACAGAACAGGAGAGAAAAACAAGATTTTTTTTTTTTCATCTGTGTTCAAGAAACCTTGTGTTTTGTTGTTGTTTTTTATTTTGTTTTTTAAAAATATTTTTTAGTTGTAAATGGATCTTTTGTTTTATGTATATGCAGTGCTGAGGATCAAACCCAGGGCCTCATACATGCCAGGCAAATGCCGAACCACTGAGCCACAACTCCAGCCCCAGTTTCTTTTCTTTTTTTTAATTCATTTTTTAAAAAAATTTTAGTTGTAGTTGGACACAATACCTTTATTTATTTATTTTTATGTGGTGATGAGCATCAAATCCAGGGCCTTGCACATGCTAGGTGAGTATTCTACTGCTGAGCTACAACCCCAGCCCTGGAAACCTTGGTTTTTAATGTTTAAGACAAACATTTTGGCCAAAGGGAAAAAGAAACAGCGACTATGTCCACAGGGAGTGCTAAGGTCCAGGTTTTCCCCGGCTTCAGAACTTTCAGAGGGAACACAGAAGCACATTTTGTCCTCTGTTTTTATGGTAGCTGATTCTGTCCCCAGCAGAAGGAACCCAGGAAGGTCAGTACAGGTGTTAAGGTGCAAAAGGCTTGGTGGGCCTGCAGCACAAAGCACAGGCCTAGTGGAGGAGCAGGGCGGTGGCAGAGAAGGAACTCTATGGTGGTGAGCTAGCTAGGACCCTTCTGTCCTAAAGTGTCACACTCCTGTGAGGCTGAGTTAGGGACAACTTATATAGGAGATGGATGATGGTAGGCCTTCTGACAGGTGGAGGTTTGTGGCCAAAAGACACAATCCTGATCCTAATCACCCAATCCTGATCCTAATCACTAGGTGTTTCTTCAGTTCTGCAACTCAGAAGAACAAAGAGCAAAGGTTTTTATTTCCTTAGGCTGTTTTTGTCACTGCTTGGTTTGCCCCTATGCAGTTCCTGACATCTTACACAATGGACAGGCTAGAGGGGACAGCTGCCCCAAGCCCTCTTGCTGAGCACCAAACTCACAGCAAAGAAAGAAAACACACTTCACCTGATGACTGTGGAAGACTAAGGTCAGGTAAGGTTCAATAGGGAGACTGGGGGAGATATTGCCTCAGCGCTCAGCTTCTCAAGTCAGAGTCAAGGTTAGGGTCCTGCCTATGTCACCTTTTCATACAGTCCCTCTGACCCAACCCCACTGAACCAGAGGCCCAGCTGGGCCCTCTTTGGGCACAGCCTACAGTGGTTCTGTGTCACAACAGCCTGTCTGTCTGTTGGCAGGTGATTGGGCCTATCTCTATCCCTTCTACCCTGGAGAAGAGCAAGTCAGGGCATGCCCTGCCTCCCACTGGGCCCAAGAAAGGATACTTCTTATGGGACTTGGCTCTGCCTGGCAGAGGAGGCAGGGCCCTCTCAGCACATAGAACCTTATGCCCAGGCTATGGATGAGGCTGGGCCTCTCATTCTAAGGATGGTCAGATACCTAAAGTAACCTTTTCAGGCTAACCTGGCTTTTTAAAAAATTATTTTTATTTTTTTAGTTGTCAATGGATCTAACCTGGTCTTTTTTGTCATTGTTACTAGGGATTAAATCCAGCACTTTACCACTGAGCTATATCCCCAGACCTTTTTAATTTTAGATTAGGTCTGGCTAAGATACTAAAGGTCTTGCTAAGTTGCTGAGACTGGCCTCAAACTTGTCCTCCTGCCTCAGCCTCCCAAAACACTGGGATTACAGGTGTGTACTCACTGTGCCTGGCACTAGCCTGGGCTTATGCTGATGTTGATGGCTGAGGGAAGCTGTGGAAACCAGGTGGGTAATGGTGGGACCGGAGTTAGTCCATGTGAGGAGAGCCAGGTAGGCAGAAGAACACAAGGTGGGCACTCAGAGAAGAGGAAAAGAATTTGAGATGAACCTGCAAACAGGAAGAGACCTAGGACAAGCCTGGGCCTGGCTGGTCAGCCGGGGCTGCTGCTAGGGCAGGATGGTGCTGGGCTGAAGAGCTGACAGAAGAGCAGCTCTGGGAGGGCTTGGGAGGAGGTAAGGCAACTATGAATGCCCAGGATGTCGGCAGCCACCTGCAGTGACTCAGGCCAACCTCAAAGCTCAAACGTGGACAGAAATAGCCTTGTTTCCTCAGAGACTGGAGGCAAAGCATGAAAGAGCAGGCGCTGTTGGCAGCAGGGGAGGCTGCCAAGGGGGAGGAGGCCGCAGCTGCATGCTCCTCACACTTGGCTCACATGTCAGGAAACACAACCAGGGAGAGAACCACATACACCTGAGACCACTCTATCCCAGAATACTAGAGTCCTCACTGTGTCCTTCCTAGGCACATGAGGCTCCACCCTGCTTTAGGGGTGACCCTTCAGAAGAGCATGCACTTTACCAGCATGCTCATTTAATTCTCTCAAGCATCAGATAGGGCAGGAGTTAGTCAGAAAAACAAGTTTTGGACAGGTAATATATGGCTCAAATACAAAATGCACGACAGATGTGAAAGTCTCCCTCTGTCCATGTCCCCTGTTCCTCCAATAAATGAGCCAGTGCATGCAGAACATTTCAAACAGTGGCTGGCACAGCACATGTACTAAGCATCAACTATTAACAATAGTGTCATGGGGGCACTGACAGAATCAGTGTTAACAGGTCACCTTACAAGGAAGGAACAAAGGAGTTACACAGGAGAAACAGCAGTCAACCTTTCATATAAATCAAAAACGTTTACCACCAGATACTCCCACAAACACAGGTAAGCTGCCTTAGTAGTTTTTGTGGATGACTCCTGCATCCCAATGTGTACAAAACATGATTATCTATTTTAGCTGCTATTTTAAAACAAACTACCTTGGAAACTGTTCCTTACCAATGCACAGGTTTCCTTTTTCTTTTTCATCACCAGTCACTTATATTAATGGATAGTTGGGTTATTTCCAATCTTTGCTTCTACAAATAATACCCTGAGAACAGCACATCATCTGCACGCAAGCCAGCATCCTGAGGTGCAGAGGACCCGCACACGTTGCCAGGAGCCTCTGGGAGCTGTCAATCCAGACTCCCACCAGCATGTGCCAGTGCGGCATCCCACTGCAGGAAGGGCCCCTTCTCACTTCAGATGGGGAAACCACAGCTCAGGAGTCAAGTCCAAGGGTTGTCTGACTCTAGAACCCAAGCTCTTTATGGATCAAGCAGGGAAGCAGCGACAGAAGAAAAGCACAGAGTAGAAGGAAAAGACTGGTGGAGAAGACGGATGGAAGGACACAGTGACCAAGTCCTGCGGAGAGGGATTTTCATGAAGCCACATCCTCACCTTGTGGCTCTTTAAGAAACTGCATATGAAGACATTTGCCGGTAAGTTGTGATTTCACAACTGTGGGAACAGGCTGAGCCCACGAGCTGGAGAAATTAGGGTGAAGGCCGAATCTAACCCACAACCCCTGATTACTCCTTCTTGCTCCAGTCCTAAAAACTCTCTCAATGGCCAGAGTTCCCTATGCCCCTCACTAAGGAGTGTTGAGTCAGTGCTGGAGTGAGATGAAGCCAGGCAAGACAAGTGAAAACATTTTGCTTTGAGGATGCGTTGTCTTATCTGGACTTCATTATTCTTATCCTGGGGAAGGGAGTGTGGAGAACTACAGTAACTATTCTATGCTGTTCAGGAGACACCCTTGAGTAATTCACAAGGCCACACACAAACCTAATCTAGGTTTACCAGCATGACCAGAGGCCCTTCATTAAACGAGTAAGGAGGTCTGAAAACCAATAATTTTCATGGAAACAGTACTTACAAAAAGACAGAATTCAAGGGGCTGGGGTTGTGGCTCAGTGGTAGAGCACTTGACTAGCACATGAGAAGTGCTGGGTTCGACCCTCAGCACCACATAAATAAATAAATAAAATAAAGGTATTGTGTCCAACTACAGCTAAATATATATATATATATATATATATATATATATATATATATGTATGTATATATATTTTAAAAAAAACAGAATACAGGTGGTTAAGCAGTCCCTTCACAATCTAATTTTATTGATATGCCTAATAAATAATGTCCTTTCCCTACGCTGCATAATTTCTGAGAATTAGACAAATGTGAAATAAAAGAATAAAAGCAATTATGCCTTCCAAATCTTACATGAAATGATACTAAATACAAAGAAAGGGAGAAATCGACAGGGATAGAGATAACGAGGGAAAAATCCCTGATGTAGTAACTGTTGCTTGAGGGTGGGGCGCCTGCTTGGACCTTCCTTCTAGAGACAGTGTGTCCCTCTCAGAACAGCTGAAAGGACTGTTCACACTGAAGAGCATCACTTGCTATGCTGGCTCATCAACTTAGCTGCTGCACTACAGCGGCTCCATGATGGCCTCCTTAGCTGGCCTCCTTCCTTGTAGGGAAGCATCAGAAGATGGCACTGAGTGAAAGGAGGCATCAGAATATAGACAATGAGGGGCTGGGGTTGTGGCTCAGTGGTAGAGTGCTCACCTAGCATGCATGAGGCACTGATAAATGTAAATCCTCAGCACTACAATGAGCAATGAAATACATCACTGCCTGAGAATGTCTGAACCCACTAACTACAACTGCTCGGTCCCCGTCCAAACCAAGAGACAGGCCACATAAGCTTTGCATACTCTAGGGACCACCTGGACTTTGCTATTAAAATCCTCCATAGTTTCCAGGACCCACAAAGGCTGTATGATCTACAAGATATAATTAGGAGTGAGGTAGGCTTGGCTTACTCTTGTCCTACAGTAAAAATATGCTCAGCACCACGTATGAGGTAACGTTAACTCTACAAGCCTGGCCACCTGACCCTCCTGCTATCTGCTTATCACTCGAAGGCAGTCCTGTCACAGCTGCCAGGCTTGCTCCCACTCATTCCTGTCCAGGACAGAGAAAAGAGGAATGGGAAAGGGGGATGGAGGCTGTCCACTCTTGACTAAATCATTCAAATAGAAAAATGATCCAGTAGGGGAGCATACAGATTCTTTCATCATGAATTCTCTTTTTAACAATCCCATTTATCCCAGCTGTGTCCAGGAAGTTCCATTCTGGCAGGGGCCTGGTCCCTGCATCCGAGTCTACAGATGGCCACCTTTGCTGGCACAGGGGCCAGGTGCTGCTTCACAGAGCAAGCATTCTGGGCCCCCATGGGTGAAATCTGTTTTCACAGGAGCCATAGGCATAGAGATAAATGCACACAGAGATGAATACACAGTGGCAGAATGTGGCCAATGAGCCATATGAAGTGGCTCTGCCTGCTTCTCCTCCTCCACAAGTATGAACCAAGGCAAGGGGAAAGGTGGGAGGGTAGGACCCACAGGGCAGGTGGCTGTGTTCAAGACTCCTGGGGGGAACTGGATTTATAGGAGAAAAGAATGCCAATCCATGCAAGGTGGCTGCATGAAAGGGGGAAAAGATATATATTGGGGTGGCCCACAAAGGGGACAACGAGAGGTGACTTTGAGGCCCACCTCAGAGCAGGTTGGTGCAGGGAAAACTGTGACTGCAGGCCAATGGCCCAGAGCAACTGCTATTGTCTGCTGTTACCCTGGCTGCAGAAGGCTGTCTGGAGTCCCTCAGTCCTCAGGACCAGCCCATCCTTCCCTGAGGTGAAAATGAAGACCAGGCTCAAAGCTACAGAAGGGTAGAGTAAGGCCTTTCCTGAACCATTAGGCATTGATATCTTTCTTTTCTTACTCCCTCAGGCTGCTTCTTAAAGTTCTGTTTTGGGTCCACAGAACAGGAGGAGTCCCCACAGCTATGGGAGGAGACAGTGGGTTCCTATAGTTCATTATGCTGGGGAGTGCATGAGCCAGGCTAACAGTCCTCTCGCTTTCTCACCCACTCACTTCTTGACTGACTGACTACAACCACCAGCCAGCCTCACAGCAAAGCCAAGGTCTGTAAATGGCTTTAGAGACATGCAACTGCCACATCTACAAGGAGCATGGCTGAGCCCAGTCACCCCTCCCATCATCCCAAGTTCTTGGGCCTCCTCCTCAGGTAGTAGAGTGTTCGCATCAAAGTTCAAAGAACAAGGATGTTGAGGTCTAAATGCGAAATAAATGTGTTCAAATTAATTTTTCCCACCAAAGAGCCAAGCAGAAAAATGGTTTTCCTGGAACACAAGTTGCTCCTACTGTCAGAGGAAGCTGCGTTGGCTCCACATGGCTGCATTTCACAGGCCACTGGGTTTACTATACTGACAGTTTTCTGGGAGGCCATCAGGCTACACACATAAAGACTGATAAGAATCTTACCAATTTTCTCAAAAGATACTATGAAGAATGCCACTTAGTACACTACAATGTCCTCTTTGGAGAACCCATGAAAGAAGAATTCTATGGTCTCACTAACAGAAAGAGCTGCTTCTATTGAGCAACCCATTTTTACTTTATAGGTATTAGCAAAACTTATAAAACTTCCCTCTGTGCTTTGGCTGCTACGAAGGCCAGAGCTAGAAAAGCAGTCCCATATAACTAAAATGTACAAGGTAGAGGCATACCACTTTTGTGCTAATCTCACCCTTGATTTCTTCTTTTCTTTCAACCTACCTGCCTCAATTGCTTTTATTAAAATTCTTGTTACAATACAAGCACCTCAGATTCCTAAAATCACTTAACAAGATAATGGACTTGCTAAGAACAGAAAGAGAAAAAATTCCTAAATATAAGATTTTATTCCAATACCTAAGAAAATAAAATGTGATGGGTTGGGGGTGTAGCTTGATGGCAGGGTGCATGCTTCACAGGGTGCATGCACCGGGCCCTGGGTTTGATCCTCAGTACCAAATCACCACCACCACCACCAGCACTAACACCACATCAACAGAACCTTCTAAAAGGTAAGCACAGAAGAAACACTTATTTTATTTTATGGAAGGAAATGTTGCCCAGTTCTAGAATTGCAAAAATAAAATCAATCTTTAAACACACGAAAAAGGCAAAAAGATACTTAGGTTAGTACTTTACTATTCAAAAATGTGATCCAGGACCAGCAGCATCCATATCCCCTCAGAGCTTTCTGGAAATACAGACACTCAGGTCTCACCTACAGCCTTGGAAGCAGAACATGCATTTTAGCAGAATCTCCTAATGACTTGCTAGGCACACTAATGTTTCAGAAAACACCAGGCTGGTAAGTAGGATGGTCTTGTCCAATGGCTTTATGATCACTGAGCAAGCAAGTGCACACATGCCAGGCACACAGAAGGAAATTTATGGTCCTTGTCCTGAAATCTTCTGCAATAAGATACTTGAAAAAGCTCACATCTTGTGGCAAATTTTTAATGCTAATTATGAAATGTCACAGCTATAAGGATGTTCCCAGAAAGAAGAGTACTGTGGCTATACTAAAAACATAATCACATATTTGAATTTCTCCTGTGAATTACAAGTAAGAAGAGGAACGAAGATACTTGTTTTGGAGATGTGAAATAATTTAAAGAGAAGCTGACATGCCAAGGGGGGCTTACAGTTGGAAGGAAATACACACTTCGGTCTGTTTCCTGCAACCAGATGAGGCACAGGAAAACCTGGAAGAGAGGTAGCAACCCCCATGGGTTGCACGTGGCACCTCTAGGTCAGCAAACAGTCCAAAGACAACAGGAAGACTTCTTCCACTTTTCACATGTCTAGAAACAAATTTAAAGACAGGAAGCAGTTTCTTCATGAGAATAGATTTAGTTCTAAGGAGAAAAGCCACTCAAAGTTCACCTACACAAACTCTGCCTTTTGCCAAAGACTTTTTCTTGCTGGATGTGGTGGCATATTCTTATAATCCCAGCAGCTAAGTGGCTGAGGCAGAAAGATGGCAAGTTCAATGCCAGCCTCAGCAATTTATCAAGGACCTACAGAATTTAGTGAGATCCTGTCTCAAAAATAATTAAAAAAAAAAAAAAGACCTTTTCTGTCTCTCATCCTGAATATTTTTTGGCAGTCACATCAGGCACCATCTATTTCATGCCTCTGCCCTATCACATGACCAATCCGAGTAATACATCACATTAAAAGTCTACAGTGGCTAGACATGGTGGTGCACCTGCAATCCCAGCAACTCTGGAGGCAGGAGGATAACAAATTTGAGACCAGGCTCAGCAACTTAGTGAGACCGTGTCTCAGAATAGTTCAGTGGTCAAGCCCTGTTGGGTTCAATCCCCCATACCTAAAAAATAACAATAATCATAAAAATAAAATGCTTTTAGAGCTGGGGTTGTGGCTCAGAGGTACAGCACTTGCCTAGCAAGCAATGAGTTCGATCCTCAGCACCACATAAAAAATAAAATAGAGAAATTGTGTCCACCTACAACTAAAAAAATAAATTCTAAAAAAAAAAAAAAATTCTACTGTGATACTTGGTCAAACTGTTATTTGGCACCCAATCTCTAATAGGTGGTAAGACTGTAGAAACATAAACAGATAATCTATGGAATACTTTTCACCATGGGAGGAGAATCAGGAAAGGTTTAAGGGATTTTTTTTTCTTTTTTAAAATTAAGGATCATATAAAGACTAAAAAGCAGATCTGAAGGGTCAAGTACTCTACAGAAAGTTAGTATTGGTGAGTCTGTTCAAGTATCTGTTTATTTTTATCCTAACAACTGCTGACAGCTACTAAATATTTTCTTTGTGCCAGGAACTATCTTGGGCATTTTATTATCAGTATTTTATTCAATCCTCAAAACCCACGGAATAGGTACTATTACTAACTCCACTTCACAAATGAGGAAACTGAGGCTCAGAGAAGTTAATTTACACAGAGTTGTTAACTCAGCAGAGCTTTAGTCTGATTTGACTTAGCCTAAGCTCAGATGTGAGAATTAATTGGCCCAACAAGTTAAAAGAATAAAAGTTCCTGTTTTTTCAACTTTTGGCCCCACTACTGCTTTTTGTTTTCTTCAGGCTTCCTTCCATCACTGAGTGCCTTCATCAGGCTAGGGGCTTGGGAAACCACAACACAGGGCGGTGTGTAAAAACAGTGGTTATAGAAAGCAGCCCAAAAGAGGGCAGTGATCATCAGTTTTAGGATGGGGAAGAACTTTTAAAAAGCTTCCTAGAAGAGGTGAAACTGAGTCCCTTGCTCTTTTCTGTACTAAGTGGAACAGAATTTACCCAGATGTTGAAGAAAGGGCCTGGAGGGAACAAGGTGAGAAATAGTGACTTGCATTTCTTTTAATCAATCCCAAAGCAAACTGATACAAAGCCCTTTTCATGCCCTTTAACAAGATCCCTTACACCCCAGATCTGAGAGCTGATGGGGTATATGCCAAAGCTAGCTCCCTTGTGCCCTCGCCACCTGGGACTCCCAGTGAAGTCCAGTCTGCCCTGGCTCTGGCAGGTTTCCGCTCATTTTATTACAAACAATACACTGAACGCAACCTAGTAATTATAAAGGGTCTGGAATAGGTTTTGGACAAGCGCCCCTGGGCTGCTAGTAACTATTCTAGTGATGACAGCTGGAAAGGATAGCTCTTCTGGGTTAAAAAATGAGTCATTTTGCTTTTCTTCCTCTGCCACGGTCACAGCGATAGGACAGCGTTCTTCCTAGCCCCGGCATCAATATCCAGAAAACGAGCGAGAGAATCGTTCGTCTCGATCTTTCCAATGGGAATGACCCTGGGCTGCGTTCCCCCGGATCGAGAAGCAGGGTTCCCCCGCGTGGAGGCAGACGCGCGGCGCAGTTGCGGGGCCGCCAGATGTGTGGACACGCGCTCGCTCCGCAGGCCCTTGCCGCTCCCAGCCGTTCTTCAGCCCTTCTCCCGCCCCTCACCTCGGCCCGGTTCGGTATGCAAGATGGAGGCGAAGGCACGAGGCGCCCCCACCCCCAGGAAGCCTTTGTGCCCTCCAGCCCGCACGGCCCCGGGCCTCGCAGGCCGCCCAGGAGAGATCGCGGAGCGGAGGGAGCCGCACCGCAAGTGCGGGGCTGCCCAGGACGCTATTTCCAACACCCGGCACCCCGACACGTACGTCAGATACTGCCTACTCACCGCACCTCGAACCTTCGCACGTCCCGGGCAGCCCCGCAGTCCCATGCGGCAGCCCGAGCCCGGGATCCCAGGCAACAACCGTGGCCCTCCCGCTGGCGCCCGGAACGCTGGGGCGGGACCGAGCACCGGCCACGCCCCTCGGCCCTCCCACTCTCCGTCCGCGCCGGGAGGCCGGAGCAGCCAATCTGAGCCCTCAGTGTGGAGCCTCCACCAATACACAGCCCGCTCCGACGAAAAGACCCCGCCCCTTACGTCGCCTTGGCCTATGGGAGACCCGATCTGCTTTGGCGGACCGCATTCTCGCCTTAGGCAGTCGCGGCTCGGGTTCACTTTTTCGCGGGTAGCGGGGTCGTGGGAGGGCGCGTGGTCCAGGGGCTGGCACCGGGGAACTCCCCGGAGCTTCGAGGCAGGAGGCCCGTTCTCCTAGTTGTCGGCGGGGCGGCGAGTCAGGCGTTCATTCATTTGTTTTGCTCTGGGCGCGCGGACGTGCTCTGGACACGCCGCTGCCGGGGAGGCGGGCTCTGTCTTTCTTGGAGCGTCTGTTTACTTTCGCGTCCAAACCTGGTGGCCTGACGCAGGCGGCAACAGGTGCTAGCTAGGGTTTGTCAGAAGCAGGCGCCGCTGGACGATCGCTCAGCCCGGCGACTGGTGTCAGCATTCAGGAAGAGGTGGGACGCACGCTGGTTTGGGAGGGAGAGAAGGGATAAATGAACCAGGAGCTGCTTAGTGGCACTCTGAGCAGCCTGGTCTAATGGGGAGTCGGTGATAGAGTCCGAGGGGAAGTGGGAGCCAAGATGCCTAGGAGCCTAATTACCACCGAGTAGAATACTGTAACATAGAGGGTTTGTTTTTGTATTTTGGGGGTACTAGGGATTGAACCCAGGGGCTCAGGCATGCTAGGCAAAAACGTTTTACCACTGAGCCCCTGAATCATTGAGGAACTATTACCTGGCAGTCATGGGGAAGGGGGTCACTTTGTAACCTATCTCAGACCCTCCCTTATGATTTTCTCTCATCAACATTTTCTGATTTCCACAAAATGTCCCCCCAGTTCATAAAAACAGTCTGTAAATGTGAACCGTGAGCAGGATTTGAATTCCTTTGCAGCTCCTTGACCCCCATTGTAGTTAGGCGTTAAGGGGCTTAGGTTTTCCTGAACCTATCAGGACAGTGGCAGTTAGCCCTCAGATGGTTTTGTTTGCTTTTTGTATTTTAGTACTATAGATTGAACCCTGTGGTGCTTAACCACTGAACCACATCTCCAACCCTTTTTATTTTTTATTTTGAGACAGAGTCTAAGTTGGACAGAGACTCACTAAGTTGCTGAAGCTGGATTTGAAGTTGCAAACTGTTTTTTTTTTTTTTTTTTGGTACCAGGGATTGAACTCAGAGTCACTCAACCACTGAGCCACATCTCCAGCCCTATTTTGTATTTTATTTAGAGATAGGGTCTCACCCGAGTTGCTTAGTGCTTCACTTTTGCTGAGGCTGGCTTTGAACTTGTGATCCTCCTGCCTCAGCCTCCTGAGCTGCTGGGATTACAGGCATGTGCCACCATGCCCAGCTGATTTTTGTTTTTAAATAAGAATTTATTAGCCTATAGGAGGCTCTGGGTTCATTTCCCAACACCAAACGAATGAATCCACAAGTACCACTTGTATGTTAAGTAGTAGCCAGAGATTTCATGTATTATTGTTACTTACCTGACATCTGAAGGCATTTGTGTTTGTGGCCCTTGGTTGTTTCAGTACTCATAGGAGACCTCCAGATGAGTCACTTAATCCCACAAACTTGAGATTTGGGACTTTTCCAACATAGCTGAACACAGAACTGGAACAAGTCCAAACAGGCAGCCAGGTCTGGCCAGCAGAGAGTTGGGGCACTAGATCAAGTGAAGGGAACTTGAAAGAGAATCAAAGCCAAGTGAGTAAGTACTCAAAAAAGCTAAGGAAGTTATGGGTGTTGGAACTTGAGATAAACAGACTGTGACCAGAAAGGAAGTCAGTAATTCTACTGTAAGCATAAGACAAGCATGTTATACTCTGTGTATGTCAGGACCTAGGTCAAATCTCCCCACCTTCATCAGCCCTCCTTGAGATCCTCAGCCAAAGGTGTTTTCTCCTTTGCCCCCCCCCAGTCATCTGTTTTTTCTATGACCTTTGTCATTTTGTACCCTGTATGATTTTCTCACGTGTGAGAGAGGGAATAGAATAGATGAGTTCCATCTTCCTTTTTGCTCTGAAATTCTGAAATATTGTGAGCATCTTTTGTTTTTACTTGACAGTAATCTTTCCTTTGAGGAATTGTCTGCGTTCAGTTAATCAGATGGTTCTTTTGTACCACAATTCTTTGAGATGGTGTGGAGAAAGGGCAGCATGGAGCTCAGGCTTAGCCAATTATAATCCCTCTCCTCTTGTTCTCAAAGGTTTCCCAAGGGATGGGTTTATGAGTCTACCTGACATGGTCTGAGCCCTTGTCAGGGATATCAGAGAATGAGGAAGGAAGAGGCTCGCTCTTTCCTCTGGTACTTGTAAGTGCAGGGATAGTAAGCCTGGAGGCTGTGCGTGGTTATACTCTTTGCACCAGAAAAGCAAGAGAACCAGGCCTAGAAATAAAAACCCAGGGAGATCCAGTAGC